TCAAAATTGAAAGAGAAATAAATGGATCCCTTCCATTCCTTGATATGCTTATCATGAGAAATGGCCAAAACTACAAATTTAAGGTATACAGAAAGCCCACACAGGTAGATAGTTTCATGCACGTTTTATCGAATCACCTGGAGTCTACCAAAATGTCAGTTTTTTCTGCTATGTTTTTAAGATGTCTGCGTATTTGTGACTCTGAATTTATTGACGATGAATTGAAACACATTCGTTCCATTGCACAAAAACTCGGATACCCTTCTGTGTTTGTTGATCGTTGTTTTGAAAGGGCTAAAAAATCCTTTCATTCCTCTCAAACCAGGCAAATTCCTACACTTAAGAATATATTGACTCTGCCCTATCGTAATGAATTTGTCCCGTTAGTTCGATCCCTCAAGCTACTATATATTAATGTTGTTTTCAAGTAGGACTCAACCATTACCAATATGTTAATACGGAATAGCCCAAGTTTGAATGTAAATGGAAGTGTTTATTGTATTCCATGTAGCAAATGTAATGGTTATTATGTAGGACAGACAGGAAAAACACTGCAGCTCAGAATCAAACAACATAAGTACAATATCAGAACAGCATCTGAAAGCAGTGCCTTGTTCGGTCATGTTAGGAATAATAATCATCCCATTGCTTGGGAAAAAAGCTTAGAAGTATTTAAATCATCTTGTGTCACAGAAAGACTTCTGGTTGAAGCTAGTTTGATTAAGGAATTAAAATCAATAAACCTTAGTGACGGTCAGTTCAAAACTGATAATATGATACATAAATTTATTTATCAGTGCCCCAAGGTTAAAAATGCTCTGAAAACCTTTGATCTAGATGTAGGATAGTTATTTAGTGGGTCCCTTATTTTTGACCTCACCTGACTAGTCACGTCACCCCCTTCTCTTAAGCTCCTCTACGTGTGTGTTGGCGTGGAGATTAGTGGATGACATCATTATGACCTGACCTCTAGTCTGTAATCACCCCTGAAGATGTGAATTACACGAAAGCGCTTGGGAACTTCGTGTTTTCTTCTTTCCTTGTGGTTATCAGCATATACCTAGATCACGCGCACCTACAGCGATTTACTTGCATATATATATATATATATATATATATATATATATAGACTGGCAACGATTTTATGGCAACGACTACCTGTACTGTCGCGACGGAGTACACTTGTCTCGTGAGGGGGTAAAGACGTTGTCTGCATCCCTGGAGCGTGAAATTGTCACTCCGAAGGGGGGGTTTCGCCAGTAGAGAGGGGTCGGGGAAAATGGGAGTCAAAAAACAAGCAGGTCCTGGGAAGTAGTGAAACAGAAGTAGATAATGCTGAAAATATAGTTAGTCATAATAACAAACATCAAAGTAATAAATGTAAAACAGATAGAAACGGAAGAAATATATTGAGTGTTAATTATACTAATAGTAGAAGCCTGTGTAACAAAATGGACCAGCTCAGGGCCATTGTTAGTAAAGAGAACATAGATATAATTGCAATAACGGAAACATGGATAGATTCAAACAGCAAACATTTTTTAGCAGAATTTCATATTCCAGGATATAACCTATTTAAATTTGACAGAGTAGGAAGGAGAGGTGGCGGTGTAGCAGTGTATATCAGGGTGTCATTAAAAAGCTGCAATAAATCAAACATTAAAACAAATAGCGACAATGAAAGTATTTGGGTAGAGATTGGTGAGGGCAGTGAATCCGTAGTCATTGGTGTTATATATAGACCGCCTAATTTGAGTAGGAACGATGGTAAATTGCTATGGGAGGAAATAAAGAAGGCATCTGATAGAAACAATGTATGTATTCTAGGCGATTTCAACTTTTCAGGCATAGATTGGAAAAATCAACTTAGCGATAATGAATCTGAAGATTTTCTAGAAGTAGTACAAGATAGTTTTTTATATCAATTCATAAACTCGCCCACTAGAGGAAATAATATCCTCGATTTAGTTCTCAGTAATAATGAAAATCTAGTAAAAGATGTTGGGATTGGAGACGAACTAGGAAACAGTGATCATAAAGCCATATATTTTAACATAATATGGGATGGCAGGAAGAAGGAAAATTCGGCCTTGATCCCGGATTTTAGGAAGGCTGATTACGGTAGCTTAAGGAGAGACCTAAGGGATGACCCTATGGTCAAAAGATTAATCCCCCCCACACCTCCGGAAACTGTCAACTTAGGACGGGATAACCCCAAATTTAATTTAGCAGCTACTTATGAACAATTTATTGCGACAATCAATAATGCTCAAAATAAACACATCCCTAAATGAAAATTCAGATCGATACGGAACCAACCAAAATGGATGAATAATAGACTCTTAGATCTTCTACGGAAAAAGAAAGGAGTATATAGAAAAGTTAAGAAAGGCGAAAATCACTTACTTGGTTACTATCAGAACCTAACAAGACAGGTAAAAACAGAAATTAGGAAAGCAAAGAGAAATTATGAAATCAAGGTAGCAAACGAATCGAAAATAACCCAAAGCTTTTTATCAACTGTATAAATCAAAGGTTAGAATACAATAGGTCCCTTAAAACTACGACAGGAGAAATGACTGATGATGAGTTAGAAATGTGTAGTAATCGTTAAATATTTTCGCTCGTATTCAACAAATGAAAAACCTAGCACAGTTTCCAGAAGTTCATAAGGTATATAACGACAGTATAGAAAATATGTTGATGAATATCAATATTACTAGTAACGATGTGCTTAAAGTAATTAACAAACTGAAGCCTCATAAATCGCCTGGTCCAGACGAGGTATATGCTAGAATATTAAAAGAATGTAGAGATGAGTTGAGTAATCCATTAGCAGTTTTATTTAATAAGTCATTAGAATCGGGCCTAGTGCCAGAAGCTTGGAAACTTGCAAATGTAGTTCCGATTTTCAAAAAAGGTGATAAATCAATTGCATCAAATTACCGTCCCATTAGTCTCACGTTAATCATAGGCAAGTTGCTAGAGTCAATTATTGCTACGAAAATCAGAAGCTACCTTGAAACATTCAACTTAATTCATTCTTCTCAGCACGGGTTCACCCAGGGACGTTCTTGTCTCACAAATTTGCTTAGCTTTTTCTCAGAAGTATATGAAGCGGTAGATAATGATAAGTCATATGATATAATTTACTTAGATTTCAGTAAAGCATTCGATAGAGTCCCTCATGAGAGATTGATAAGGAAGGTAGAAGCACATGGAATAGGTGGATCATTATTAAAATGGATTAGGTCATGGTTAACTGGTAGGAAACAAAGAGTCAGCATAAATGGATTAAGTCAGACTGGGGTGCGGTCAAAAGCGGAGTTCCCCAGGGATCTGTATTAGGCCCTCTGCTGTTTGTTATATTCATTAATGATCTTGATTTAGGTATAACTAGTAGGATTAGTAAATTTGCAGATGATACCAAAATGGGGAGAGTGATAAATTCAGACAGTGACTTTGAACACCTTCAAAGAGATCTAGATACCTTACATGAGTGGTCAGTAGACTGGCAAATGAATTTTAATACTGATAAATGCAAGGTACTACAGATGGGAAGACGAATACAAACGTTAAAGTATAAACTAGGTAACACGGAAATAGAAAACTCAGTTTGTGAAAAAGATCTAGGTGTATTTGTTAGCAACGACAAACCTAGAAAACAATGTATTAGCGTTCGCAACAAGGCAAACAGGATTCTTGGGTTCATATCTAGGTCTGTGAGTAACAGAACTGCTGACGTTATCTTGAAACTTTACCTAGCATTAGTGAGGCCACACATGGATTATGCGGTTCAGTTCTTGTGTCCTTATTATAGAATGGACATAGATTCTTTGGAGAGAGTACAAAGAAGAATGACAAAAATGATCCATAATATTAGAAACCTTCCATATGAAGAACGACTGAAAAGCTTAGGCTTACATTCATTAGAGAGGCGTAGAGTTAGGGGAAATATGATAGAGGTGTACAAGTGGGTAAGTGGGATTAACAAGGGTAAAATGGAAGATGTTCTGAAGCTCAGTAATAACGAAATAACTAGAACAAATGGCTTTAAATTAGATAAATTCCGATTCAGAAAGGATAGGTAAGCACTGGTTTGGTAATAGAGTTGTGGATATGTGGAATAGGCTACCGAGTGCTTGCTATAGTAGGATCGGGGACGCTAAGAGCTTCAAGACGAAGTTGGATAGGCACATGGAAGTGCTGGGATGGGTGTGGATCTGCCCTGTATGGGCCAGTCGGCCTCTGCAGTATCACTTTCTTATGTTCTTATGTTCTTGTATATATATATATATATATATATATATATATATATATATATATATATATATATATATATATATATATATATATATATTGGGCTTAAAAAGCGAAAACTAACCACAACGCGTTATGGTTATTTGGGAAATAGCCAGAAAGCGAAATTTGGCTACAGGTTAGGTAAGGTTAGGCTAGGTCAAATGAGGTTAGGTTAGGTTAGCTTAAGTTATGCTAGATTAGGTTAGGTTGTGTATATTGAGTGAAACCCAAGACGCAAAATATCGTTTTCTGGTTAGTTTGAAAACATCCACAACGCGTTGTGGTCCATACTGCACGTGGACTTCCATATTCCAGCAATGTGTGTGTGCGTGTTGTTGTTGTATGGATAAGTTACGTTACATTACGGTACTTTACGTTAAATTATCAGCTAAAATTTGCCAAAATTTATTTATTTTTCACCAAACCTAACGTAGCCTAGCCGGACTTACGTTAATACCCCTGCTCCCAATGACAGATTATTCAAGTGCACTTGAACATCCTTGCGTCTGCCTAATGAAAGTGGACGTAACTGACATGACACAGAACACACTAGATTATTTTGGGGAGCGATGCACATCCGTCTTTATGCAACACCCACTTTGCAATCACAAAACCTTGTGCTTCTTCCTATGTCGCCATATCTCACCTGTTCATTATTAAGTAAATCGGAATCGTAATCAAATTCTTCTCTTTGCTAGGCTGGATTGTACGAAAAGTGGATGGAAGATATACTGTTTAGAGCCAGGCAAGAAAGTCGCAGGAGACAGCAAGAGAAGCAAGACCAGGAAGTGGCCGCCGTGAAGGAGGATTACGATAAGAGGAATCAAGCGCTCACATTCGTCCACATGCAAGGACCCTTCATACTTCTCCTTCTGGGTCTCTCCTTATCTTGTATTACTATTATGATAGAATTGGGAATAACACTGGTTAACAAAGGAACTTAGTAAATCAAATATTTCCACAACTATCACAACTTTGAGGGAACATTCACTTTACTCTGTGCATGTTTAAATGCTTTAATTTCAAGGACATCGATTACTAACAACGTTCAGGGTGACTCTTGAAACCAGCCAACGGAGGGGACGGACCGACTGACGGGGACAGCGACTGACCTGTGCGGCCGGATCGTTAAACAGAACTCCACCGTTCAAATACGTGCACACCCTCACGTAACGCCGCAATATAGAGAGGTCGGCCGGATAGCTGTCTCGTTTTCGCTCCCTCTGCTCTCCCTCTCTCTCTCTCCACTAGTCTGTCTATCTTTATAGCATCATCATCATCATAACCCCGCTTCCTATATCCTGGTATAGGTGGGTTTAGCTCGGAAAGAAGAAGAAAGATGTAGCTATAGTAAGATAGGCTATCTACAGTAAAAGGGTGTCATAAAGGGTCTGGCCACTTTCGTCCCTTCATTGTTGAGGGAAGGACAGCTGGCATTATTTGAATATTCTTACTAACTTCTTGAAATTCCTACGCTTATTTCAGTGTAGTTTATCTGTGCACTTGAGTTCACAGCTGCCTCTTCTGAAATGTTTCCATATTAATGTGTATGTATCTAAAAGTGGAATAAATACAGTATATCATGATAACTTATATTTTATTTACACACATAGGTTATAATTAAATAACATATATTATTTACATCAACTGTAACCCAATGCAATCTGTTTTTCCTACTATCATTTTGATATTTTCATAAATTTTATATTTTCACTTCTGCGGGGAGAAGTGATAAATGACAGCGAAGAAATAAGCAAATCATTGAACAGCTACTTCTTATCAGTTTTCACAGAGGAAATTCGCGATGAAATTCCAGAGGTAGAACTGATATTTAAGGGAAAGGAAGAAGAGAAATTAAAGAATATCACTATCAGAAAAGAGGATGTTCTTAAGAAGATAAATAAACTAAAGAAGACAAAATCCCCAGGGCCGGATGAAATGTTCCCTCAAGTCTTGAAAGAGTGTAGGGAACAGATTAGCGGACCCCTCATAAACTTATTTACAAAATCATTAGACACCGGAGTTGTGCCAGACTTGTCGAAATAGCAAATGTAGTGCCCATATTCAAAAAGGGAGACAGAGCATCAGCGTCAAATTACCGGCTGATCAGTTTGACGTCAGTAGTGGGGAAATTTCTTAAATCAATTATAGCAGATAACATCCGATCGCATTTAGAGAAAAGCAAATTAATCTACGACTCTCAACATGGGTTTACAAAGGGAAAATCTTGTCTAACAAATCTGCTGACATTTTTTAGGAAAGTCTTCGAGGTAGTAGATAATGACGAAAATTACGATGTTATTTACTTAGACTTTAGCAAAGCATTTGACAGAGTACGGCATCAGAGGCTTCTGAGAAAAATTAAGGCTCATGGTATCGAGGGAAAGTTTTAAATTGGATATAATCATGGCTCACCGATAGAACGCAGAGGGTCAGCGTAGATGATGTAAAATCTGAGTGGGGTCGTGTAACCAGTGGGGTTCCCCAGGGGTCAGCACTAGGCCCACTCTTGTTCATAATCTACATAATCGATCTAGATACTGGGATCAGCAGTGACATAAGCAAGTTTGCGGATGACACCAAAATAGGGCGGCACATTAATTCAGGGCAGGATGAAAATGCAGTATAGGAGGATCTAAATAAGCTGCAGGGGTGGTCTGAAAAATGGCAAATGAAATTCAACACCAGCAAGTGCAGCGTACTTAATATTGGAAGAACAAATACTGTCAATGTATACAGCCTTAAAAACATCAACCTAGAGAAGTCGACTTGTGAAAGAGACCTAGGGGTACTTGTAAGCCCGGACCTACGGCCTAGAAAACAGTGCGTTAATGTTCGAAATAAGGCAGAGTATTGGGTATTATATCTAGAAGTGTAAGTAATAAGAGTGCAGAGGTCTTATTGCAACTATATCTTGCGCTAGTCAGGCCGCACCTCGATTATGCGGTTCAGTTCTGGTGCCCTTATTATAGAATGGATATCAATTCACTAGAGTCGGTGCAGCGAAGAATGACGAAAATGATTCCGGGACTTAGAAACCTTCCATATCAGGATAGGTTAAAGAAACTAAACTTGCATTCCCTAGAAAGACGAAGAGTGCGGGGAGATATGATAGAAGTATTCAAGTGGGTGAAAGGAATAAATAAAGGTGATAAAGATAAAGTTCTTATAATATCAGAGCAGGATAGGACTCAGAGCAACGGATTCAAGTTGGATAAGTCTAGGTTTAGGAGGGAGATAGGAAGGAACTGGTTTACAAATAGGGTGGTGGACGAGTGGAACAAGCTTAGCAACCTTGTAGTAAGTGCTGGAACGCTGGAAAGTTTCAAAGGGAGGCTGGATAGATTCATGGATGATAGAGAGTGGTAGTAACTGTCGACAGGAGCTGCCATGCAAAGGCCAACCGGCTTATTGCAGACTCCTTATTTTCTTATGTTCTTATGTTCTTATGTACAATATAGCCACCAACGTACCTAAGAGCTTCCTCTTCTATGACTAAATCTATTGCTTTACCTACATTTTTGTCAGGGTTTTTACTCTCTCCTAGGTTTTCATCAAACTTATCACTTAACTTTTTTTCTACTTTATTGCCAATATCCAAGTCTTTGAAACATTGATTAGTTATATAGAGTTCTACTGCCTGCTCTGTCATTGAAAGGTGTACCTTTATCATTTGTTTGTCTAAGACCAGTATTTCTTGACAAGCAGTCAAAATTATCATTTGTTGTGTTAGATTTCTCAGAAATTAGTGAAAAGTCTTTTCCCAGGAGTAACTTCTTGAGCCTGAATTTAAAATTCACAGCATTTGGCTGGTCGTGCAATGCATCTGTCATATGCACCCAAACAAATGCTCCAGGCAATCTTGATTTTGTACAACCCTATGAGTGACCGAGATAATAATATTACCCTTTTCTCAAACTTGTAACGGCCTTTCAACAGTCGCTTCTTACCCTCATTGTTGTCACCACTTTAATCTTTCTATGCAGAACATTTACTTGGTCACAGATTTATGAAGTCACCAGTTTCCTTCCAATTTCTACTCTCCAGTAGTCCTCTTTCTCCAAGATATTTCAGTGAGCTAGAGCATGTTTTTGACAACAATTAGACTGCGTATTTAACTCGCTGTCGTTACTGACCCCCATACATTTAAATGCACTTCACTTAGTTTGTATGCTAAACCATACTCTGTCTTACTTCCCGAAGAGAGGAATCAGATATAAGGCTTTCATCCTTTAGGTAAAATCCTGAATCGAGAAAATTATTCCTAATTAATTTAATCAACTTGTCAAGTACAAGGAGACGCAGACAGATCTCTCTATAATGACCTTGGCCGCTACCTTCTCGGACACGCGTGCGCCTGCACCATAACCCGGCGATACCAACCCATATGTGGGAACTTACTCACTCCTCGAAACGCTGTGATACAGCTATTATACCAACGTGACACATGTCACCTTCCCAATACTGGAAATTTTGACACTTCACGAACGCACAGGACTGGCAAGGTTAGCCTTTTCTCCCTACAGGCCGTGTGAGTGACCCACACGCCTGAGGAAAAATAACTAACTGTTGTCCTTCCTGACGTGGTAGAAGGGCTATCATTCTTCGACTATATTTTTCCATTTCTTACCCTGGCCGAGGCACCTGCTTATTGTTAACCTTTCAGTATTCGTGCTAGAGCCCCTCCAGTGGATTGTGTGTCTGCAGTGAGGGTCGGGGAAAAAACCTGGGCCAATCCTCTGTGCGGGTATCGCCATAAGGAAAACATTTTTGTTTTTGTTTTTGTTTTGCTACCGACGAGTCTCTAACAACCTTCGTACACCACATATTCATGTAAAAAGGAAGAAATAAATCTGTACCTAAGGGGTGGTTCCCAGCCACCCCAAACATGTCCTCTGGGGTGGGCCACAACAACCCACCCCCCCCCCCTGCTCGTTCAGTAAGAGAAGGGATGTGAAACAAAAAGAGCTAAGACTGCCTAGACCACTGATGAACAGAGACTAGGACAAAAACAACCTACATAGACGGAAAATCGAAATCAAACCACAGAATGCCAGAGTAATCAATTTCCGGAATGTTGACACGTCCACTTTGTTTGACAAAATTAATGGCTTTATTATCCAGAAAGCCATTGAAGATCATTTAGGGGACGTGGAGAAAGTCCGAAAAATGAGAAATGGCCAACTTCAAGTAACAGAGAAAAAGCAGATAAAGGACGCCTTGAATTTTAAGACTTTCCATACAACCAAAGTGGAACCGTATATCCCACCGTTTCTCAATACCTGTAAGGCTGTAGTTACCAGCTACGAATTCCAGGAAATGAGTAACGACGATATCGTGTACTACATGAGAGATCAAGGAGTAGTCGATGCCGCGTCTTCAACAGGACAACCAAAGCCGGAGAAAAGAAACGTTCTATTACAGCTGTCCTGTCCTTTGCAGTACTTGTTAGACCTACCCATGTCTTTGGTAGGATATGAGAGAATGCAAACAAAGGCCTATGAACCTTTTCCCATGCGTTGTTTCTACTACCAAAGGTTTGGACACAGCGGTAAGGCATGCCACTATTAACAAGGATACACCTTCTTCTGATGTATGGTCAGCCATAAACCGGATCAGATCAAACAGAAGAAGGACGTTTATCCCACAGGTGAGTAGTGGAGGACGGATTCTCGACGATCCACAGGCCAACGCCCAAGGTCAGAAATTCGCAAATGCCAGTAGTTCCACAAATTAGGATCCACGCTTCGGTGCGATCCGTGATCATACCGAGTTAGGGCATCTCGGCTTCCAGAACGGGGACGAACAAGACTACAATCGAACATTTTCTCCAGATGAACTATCCTTAGCTTTGAACAAAAAAAGGCAAGTGCTCTACTCCTGAACCCGACGGTATTCGATACGAGATGATTAAACACCTTGACCAGGGAAACCCGGACAAGTTGCTAGAAGTGTACAATGAGATCTGGACGCCCAGAATGCTTCCAAACTCATGGCACTTTGCCCATGTCGTACCGATCCCTAAGAGGGATAAATGCCCTCCGAACACCAACTCATTCCGTCCGATTGCACTCACAAATTGTCTCTGTAAGGTCATAGAACATATAATGAAACGTAGGCTATTGTATTTTTGGGGAAAAATAAAAACTTTTTGAATTACCGACAGTGTATTTCCGCCAAGGTAGAAGCACATTAAATCATTTAATAAGTCTTGAAACAGACCTCTCAAAGGCCCTCTGCACTAAGGAAACATTAATTTCAGTATTCTTAGACATCTAAAAGCCTACGACATGACATGACGAACTGGCCTCATGATGAAGCTCCAAGTCTTATTTCTGAGAGGTAATTTACCCGTTTTCATTAGAATTTTTTTGCAAGATAGAACTTTTTCCGTCAAATTAAAAAATAACGTAATGTCGGACGCATTTGTCCAAGGAAACGGAGTTCCACAAGGCAACATCTTGGGTCCTGCACTATTTCTCATAGTTATTAATGATTTCCTATCACCAGCACCCAGCCAAACTTACCTCAAATAGCCCAGAATTCAAATTAAATGATGCTCCTATTAAAATTCAGACTTCAATAA